TTTGTATAACATGTATACAAGAATCTTAATAAAGGTGATCGGCAAGGCTGCCTAAGGGAAAAAAAAAAAAAAAAAAAGATATTCATCTAGAGATTTTGGTTCTTTAAGCAAAGGTAATTTCTGTTTGAGTTTTAATCATTACTGTAATACAGAATGACAAGTACTTTTTTAAAATCAGTATATGCTGCAGGCTTTAATAGCATTGCTTGCATTTTTTTACCAATATTAATTTTTTTTAATAGCAAATGCTGTTTTAATTAAAAAAAGACTAGGAGCTATAGCATTCAAATAAATGGTAGAAGGCATAATTACAGCATTTTGTAACTCAAGAATATTAATGATAATATTTCTAAGAAACTTAACAAGTTCATTTAATAGATTAACCTCTGTAGAACCATTATTTGATTCAGCAATTTGCTTAATCTATTTGCTAAACATCTTTAAGATAAGTGTAGTATTTGTATCATGTTCTCTTTAGGCTGTACATAGAACTGTTTTTTTATTAATTTCTGGCTGAACATGCAAAGGACCTTCATGTGTCACAAAGCAATCTGTGCAAATAAATCGAGATTTATTATTGTCTAATGAATTAGTTGATAGCCCTTCATATTTAGTAACTGCTGGACAGTTATATAATCCATGACAGGAAACTTGGATCCTACATCTACAAACTGCTTGAATATGCAATAAACATGTTTCACCTCTTGTAAAAAAGCATTTTATTTTTTTACAAAAAAGACAATGACATGATGCAATTTTACTTTCTTCTGTTAATAATTTTTTTTTTATGCTTGGATGTAAAATTTTTAAATTATAGTTGAGATGCTGTATACTAATGCCTAATCTTGAGACCTTATTCTTAATATCTTTTACAAATTGAGAGTTAACCTCTTACATGCCCGATAGTTAAATTATAGTTTGAACCTCTATATTATTGCATTTTTAAATTATGGTTAAGTTCCTACTATTTTTATTATCAATAATAACACAATTTGTAAATTTTGTAGTACAATCTATAGTAAAAAGAAGTAGCAAGTCAAGTTCTTTCTCAAATATTCCATGTCACTATTATTGCTCTTGAGTAATTTATCATTTTTAATTAATTCATCTTCTAATGCTTCAGCAAATTCAGTTAATTCTTTTATCTTTTTATATGTATTCCAATTAAATATGAAAGTGCCATTATTTGTTGCTACTTGTTTAACACCAAGATTGGATTCTATGCTAAATTCAGATTGAATTTTCTTTTTGAGATTAAGTGAAGCTTTACTTAAATATTCTATTATTTTTATTTGTTGAATATTTGAAAGTTTTTTATTTTCTAATTGTGGTTTAAGATGATTCTGTAGTTTGCAAAGTTAAATAACTGCTATTTATATTTTTTGCACTTGTTAAAATACATATATTGGCAGTTGGAATAATTATTCTGTTATAATGAATTCTAAAGACTTTTTCATTTCTATAGTTCTATTTTTTCTAATTCGAAATCGAAACTTTAAGATTATAAGATCTTTACTAGAATCTGAAAATATTTTCAAACTCTAAACCTCTTAAATGGCACCAGAATTAGAACTGCTAAAGTTTGAACTTTTAGCTCTTTAGTTTCATGATACAAAGAGCTTTTATGTATCTCAAATTGTTATTTATATTTATAATTGTTATAATTGCAATTATATATATATATTTTTTTTGATATTAAGGTGACCTCTTTGGTCTTTTGACTTTTATTAATCACTTATCAGTATTGTGGTTCAATAAACCACTACAGAAGAGTGTACAATTGGTTACATATTTAACTTTTCTATATTACCTATTTAAGGAGTCCGCCCGAAGGTTCCCTACCAATTGCCATATCTAATACCTCTGCTTGGATGTTCCACTTTAAACTCTCTGAACCTGTAACCTGTATTAACATCACTGGTCATCTCAGATGCACCAGATCATCATCCTCAACCTTAGAACTAATTTATCCTCAAGGTAAACCCCTTAGAGCCTTCTGTACCCATTTTTACAGCTGACCTAGATATCACTATGACAGAACCAACACTTGCGATCAGGGCTAACTATTAAACCACTATGCCCTTGTAGAGTTCACTTAAACTCTAGCATCTACTTCACAGCATAACCCCAGTACTTTAGTATACCTCTGTCTTTTGTCCAACCTTTTTACCAAACTCCCAATTCAGATAGCCTGTGTAGGACTATGACCAGTTCATTGGTATATCAGGATAGCCCGATATCCTTTTCCTTCAGTTTGTTCTGGCAGCTGGTTGATGATACCTTCAAGTCTTCCAACCCTGAGGTTTTTTGCCTGTCCAGCTACTATGACTGGGTACTACAACCTTGTTATCCATTTTCTTATTCTAGCCTTTATAGTAGAGCTGTTGAAGATCCAGCTACCTCTCTACTTGGGTCTTCCCAAATGGACTTCTTGTTACCCAATTTCAACAGATTTACACAGCCACAATGACTTATCTAGTGTTTGCAGCACCCGATTTGTCAGTTTGCATTCCTCTGTGTAACACCATACTTACACAGATGCCCCATAACCTGCAAGTTATGCTGGTGTGACCACTATTACAAGTATCCTAACCTAATCATTAGTAACAGTTGCTGTAATATGAATATTACATAGGTGATTATACAAATTTTCACTGTTAATAGGATTTGAACACCCAACCTACCACTTGGAGGATTGACAACCTGACCACTTCACTAGGTTGCCACACCTCTTATAATTGCAATTATATAAATTTAAATATTTTATTTAATGATTTGTAAATTTTTAATGAATTAATAAATTAATAAATTTACATTATTATAATTGTGATTATATAAATTTAGATATTTTATTTAATGATTTATAAATTTTTAATGAATTTAATAATAAATTTACATTATTATAATTTTAATAAATTGTTTAATAAATTTAATTTATTTAATTACAACTTTTTTTCATTTAAAATAAAACAAAAAAAATAAAATAAAATAAAAAATACAAAAAAAAATAAAATAAAATAAAAAATACAAAAAAAAACACCCTCCTTTGATTTACAATTTAACCTGTCTCATACAAATAATCTAATTGTTTAGATAACACTAATTTAATTTGTTTCCAAGTTGATATAGCAAATAATATGAGTAATAATATTTATAATCCTAAAATTGATATGAAATAACCTGAACTATAAGTATAATTGTTATAATTAAATTCATAAAACCACTAAAAATATTCTTCAGATTCAAGATTATTTTTACTAAGATTCAAAGAAATCATCTGGTATTTTTGTAAAATGTATTATCTATATTTTTCTAATTTAACCAAGATCTGAAGAAATCAATATGGTGGTTTTACAAAATGCATCAGTTAATACTTTTCATTCTTCTGATCCAAGTTTATTATACCAACTGAGACCCAGAGAAGTCAACATGGTATTTTTGCAAAATATATTGGTGAATGCTTTTCATCCTTCTGATTTAACCAAGATCCAGAGAAATCAACTTGTGTTCTAGCAAAGTGCATTGGCTAATGCTTTTCATTCTGATCTAAAATTATTATTCTAAGAATCTGGGAAGTTAGAGTAATATTTTGACTTTTCATACTTCTGATCCAAATTTATTATTCTAAAATCTAAAGAGATCAATATAATGTTCTTACAAAATATATAAACTAACGTTTTTTCTCCTTCCTAATCATAACCTAAAAATAGGTCCTTAATGCTTTTGTAAGTTTACATGGTTAAGTGGTTTTAAATCTTATTGCATAAGTTTACTGATTTTTTTGTTCTGTATAGTAGATATTTTTATAAATTAATGAAAGATTATGAAATAAAAGGACATTTTTGAAAATAAGATTCTTTTTGAGTTTATTATTTTTTAAACTTTAAACATAAGGATAATAAAGTATTTGTCTTGCCGAATCATTTCACGTTATTCAGAATTCAATTTCTTTTTAGGTAGCCCCTGAAAACAATGATTGCAACCGGCCAACCGTTGTAATTTATTATGAAAATTGAGAATTTCATATAAGTGTCGATCACTCAAATTTCATAGTAAAAAATTTATTCACCTGATCTGCGTGACATCTAGTTCGACTGATATGTTATATTTACTAAATATACTGTATGTGTGCCCGATCTTGTACATATTATCGACGATCCTATTTTGGATCGTAACACTATACATTCATTGGTAATTGTCAAATCTTTTTACTATGTTATTTGCCACGTCACGTAATAAATAATATAATAAAAGGATGTGATAATTATCAATGAACAAACTGTTTGACAACTCTACGTCAAGGAAAAACACTTCAAACTTTTGAATTTTAATTTTCAGATGAATTTATCTTATTTTTAGGAATTGTATCCGGCAATTTATAAATTCAAAGGCTGATGTGATTTTTCATCGACGCGCCCATATCTAGTCATTTGTGACATCCAAATAAGCTGCGGTGCATCACGTGTGACACGGGAAGGGGATATAATTATAACAAGGGATTTTACAATTATAATAGTTTAGATAAATAAATTATGGTCGGATGAAATAAAGAACATGTATAAGAGAGATTTCAGTAAAATAAGCCATAATTAAAGTTTGTTATAAATAAAGGGCCTAATTGCCCGAGAAAAAAGTCACATTTTGCTTCACTAATTAATAAGTTCCAACTTTATTAAATAAATCACCCATAGTATCACATAATTACTGCTACGCTAATATATTTCCTAGATCTTATGGTTATAAATTCGTTGTTCGTTTAACCTCTTGCTCACGTAACCCAACCGCCCGAACGCTTGTGACCCAACGTAACCCAAAGTCTTAATAATCCTAATCTTTCGTAAGGCCCAACCTCCCGAACGCTTGTGACCCAACGTAACCCAAAGTCTTAATAATCCTAATCTTTCGTAAGGGTACCTATCGTTGGTTACGCGAGATCCTGTATTGTGGAGCAACCGAGTGGCAGTTTTCCAAGCACGACACCATAATACGACATATATATGTACGTTGTAACTATTTACAGCTCTAACAGCGAGTCAGTCGCTTCACGATCGGATACGTCGTGTAACCTACGAATCGGCTTAGTCGAAAAGGGCGTGTTAGATTTGGCGAGTGGGGAATTATGATCGTCGGTATTATTATGATGTAGCGGAATCAGGGAATTATTATGAGACGAATGTTATTGATCACTAACAATGACTGTTTCTTTTAGGGCTCGAAGCCTTTATTATATACTTTCTTTTACATAGTCGCATTATACATCTTATCCGTGATATATTACTTATGTTTATTATCCTACTTATACCGATTATAATGATTATACTGATTATACTGATTATACCCTTTATTCCACTGATTCCCCTTATAACGCTGATATCCCTTAAAGACCCGATATGACGTTTACAACTTATACAACGTATAATACCGGGAAACCCATCTTAGGTAAAAGATCGACCTCCTTTCAGGATTACGGTCCTGCGGATCACACTATTTGTGTTACGAATCCAACTAACAAAAGGAAGTATGCGTAGGTTTAGTTAGCGATATTATGGTTTAAGGAATGAATGTCACAAATTCTTATTTTATTTTCTTTTTAAAATCGGTTTAGGGTTTAGTATAAACTTTTCCTAAAACCGTTCGAAGTTAATTCTTCGGTTAACATCACTTTCAAAACTCTTGGAATGTCGCGTAACATCGTGTTTTTTGATTGGTTGTTCATTTTTCGAGATCGATTTAAAACATTTGACCTGCGCCACAAATCTGCACACATTTCAGACGTGCAACAAAATTAAAACTTTAAAAATTTATAAGGTTTAATTTACTTTTAATTCTGACTTCTTCCTAATCCGCATACTATATTTAAGTTCACCCATTGTTTGCACTTTACACATACAGTCAGACCCCCTAAATGCACCCCCCCTAAGTGCACTTCCTAGGAAACACCTCCCTAAATGCACATCTTTTCTTGGGATTTTTACCTCTCTAAATGAAACACCTCTCTAAGTACACGTTTGACTATATGGTTCCGTCGCATTGCATTTAGAGAGGTCTGACTGTATATGCTATAAATAAAGACTAGGAAATACCAAAAACTATTTAAGATAAAACAGATAACAAGAAAATTATAATACGAGTAAATATTATTATTCCTATACATACACGATAAACTTCCAGCATGCTGGTCAAACTTGATTATCCTAATTTTTATGCAGACAACTAGTTAATGAGAAAGGAAAATAATAGTAACATTGGCTTTTACTAAATACCCTGTTTCTGAAAATACCAAATAGCTAATTTGCACCCGCTAAGTCTTTGAATGTCGAGAAAACATATTTGTATTATATTACCAAAACCAAAATCTAGATCTTTTATTTAATAGTTTAGAAACCTTTTTCACGAGTTTCTAAGGCAAATGCATAAGTTGGATCAATTTCTAATGATTTATTTAAATCTACTAGTAATTCTTCGTATCTCTTCATTTTGCGATAAGTTGCTCCACGGGTTGCTAATGCAAATGCATTATTTGGATTTTTTCTAATGATTTATTTAAATCTGTTAGTGATTCTTCATATCTGTCCATCATGCGATAAGTTTCTCCACGGTTTGCTAATGCAATTGCATTATTTGAATTAATTTCTAATGCTTTATTTAAATCAACCAGTGATTTTTCGTATCTATTCATCATTCGATAAGTTACTCCACGGTTTGCTAATACTTCTGCATTATTTGGATTAATTTCCAATAATTTATTTAAATCTACTAGTGATTCTTCGTATCTATCCATCATGTAATAAGTTTCTCCACGGTTTGCTAATGCTTCTGCATTATTTGGATTAATCTCTAATGATTTATTTATGATTCTTCGTATCTTTTCATCATGCGATAAGTTGTTCCACGATAACTTAATGCTTCTGCATTATTTGGATTAATTTCTAATGAATTTTTTAAATCTGCTAGTGATTCTTCATATCTATCCGGCTTAAGATATGTTACTCCACGTTTTATTAATGCAAATGCATCATTTGGGTTAATTTCTAATAATTTATTTAAATCTGCCAGTGATTCTTCGTATCTGTTCATTATGCGATAAGTTGCTCCACGGTTTGCTAATGCGAATCTATTATTTGGATTAATTTCTAATGATTTATTTAGATTCTTCATATTTGTTCATTGCACAATATGTAAATCCACGGATTGCTAATGCTAATGTATTATTTGGATTAATTTCTAATGATTTATTTAAATCTGCTAGTGATTCTTTATATTTATTGATTATGCAATATGTTTAATCCACGGATTAATAATGTAATTGCATTATTTGGATTAATTTCTAATAATTTATTTAAATATGCCAGTGATTCTTCGTATCTTTTCATCATGTAAGTTTCTCCACACTTCTTTAATACAAATGCATCATTTGGATTAATTTCTAATGATTCATTTAAATCTGCTAATGATTCGTTATATCTTTCTAAGTTATAGTGTTCGATTCCACAATTTCTTAATGCCTCTGTATTATTTGGATCAATTTCTAATAACTTATCAAATCTTATAAACAGAACCTCTTTGTACTTATCCATAGTAATATAATTTTCCGAATTGAAATTTGAAACTTTTTCATCGTGATAAATTGGAACCATTCGTATATTATTTAATTTATCACGGATTTCGGCTATACTAGGACGTAAATTTGGATCACTATTCCAAGAATCGAAATAAATATTCATAAAATCAACTGGAGTTCCATTAATAGGAATTTCTCTGTTGCCATTAATTACATGTAAAGTTATTCCTGTTGGATCAGATATATTTTTAAAGGAGGTACACCACTTGATAATTCCCAGAAAAGTATACCGACACTATAGATATCAGAAGGTTTCCCTCGTTTATATAAAAATGGATTTTCGAGGTATTGTGGATCAGAAAACGCATGTGTTTCTCCACTAATAGATTGTAAGCTATTATCCAATGATTTTGATAATCCAAAATCCGTAATCATTAATCTACCATCATGCACTAATATATTCCTATCATGCTATAACAGATGGGATTAATATACATATAATAAAAAGCGAAAATAATCAAATAGAAAAGATATCTTACAAGATCAAGATGAACAATATTTGCATTGTGTAAACAATTAACTCCACTAGAAATTTCTTTTGCCATTCTGATTTTAGCTTTCCAATCTAATTCTGAGAAATTATCTTGTAAATAGGAGCGAAGGTCACCATTATTAGCGAGTTGAAGAACCATATAGTAACTTTCAGTTTTCGGATCTAATTTACTCGAAATTATTAGTTAGTTGATATAGTCAATTTTATAAAATATAAAATTAATATACCTTGAGTGATTCCAAAAAATGTATTATATTATCATGATGTGTAACTCTATTAATGTTTTTAACCTTAAAATATATTATAAGATACACAATATAGTAAAAACCAGTAAAGAGGTAAATGAATCCGTAAATAAAAATATAAATCATATATAATAAATACTTCTTTAATAAATCCATTCAATGAAATATCATTATCGTCCCAATATAAACTCTTTAAAGCAATAATTTTTTCAATATCTCTTGAATAAGCACTCTTTATAGCACCAAATCCTCCTCTGCCAATTTCTTTCATTTCCTGAAAAGGATCATAGTCGAATAATGTAATATATTTTTGTTCAATAGCAACTTTAAACCAATTTGACATGTTTAGTATACCGAGTATTAAGAATTCTTTATATCCTAAAAAGACTTAAATATGCACATATATATAATAATATTAAAAATTAGGACAGATATGCAGTTTGCAAGGAAAAAGATCATTAAAAATAAGTTATTTACTTATATTATAATAATCAAAATGCAGAAAAAAAAACAATAATTCTTTTAATACTTTAATAATAAAAGTGTAAATTAGATTATAAAAAGTAAATTCTAAATTACCGTGCTACTTTTCTACATTTAAAGAGATCTGCTGAGGTGAGCAGATTAAATATTGTGACGACGGATATTGTGATACCGAAGATCGTGACCGATCACGTGAAAAATGCAATAAGTGCAATAAATGTAATAAGTGTAATAAGTGACATTTAAGATCGGAAAAGGTATTTCGGATCCAAAG